GGAAGGGCAGGTACCAGCTCTCCGATATAGTCAGCAGGATATTCAGTTACTAAAGAATTGGATTCCGTGTAGAAAGGTAGACTGAGCTCCATAAGATTTCCAGACTGGCCTTCCCAGCAGAAGGTCCCTCAACCCTTACTCCTAGCTTAGTTAGGGTGACTGAATTTCATTCCCGTTGCCCACCTCAGGATGCAGGCATATGTCTCCCGTCTCATCAGCACTTGTACTTCGGAGACTGGGGGTAAATACTCCTCCCCAGTTATATTTGTATGGCAGTGACTGGAACATGCATGGAAATGGGCGCATGCCAGCCATTCTGGGGAGAAAGTGTCTGAGCTCCTCCAGAAACCTCCAGGGTTTCTAAGCACATATGTGACAAAAGTCTGAAGGCTTTGTGCTTGAGGTGATGAAACAGGCCCCTTATTGACCACGAGGCAGGAAGAAAGGATGATGACTTACTATCTGCTCCTGTCTTCTCTTTTCTTCACGGAGAGGCAGGTGAGGGTAATATCAGCCCCCTGGGAGAGGGTATCAATAGCTATATTACCATATCCTGCATTAAGTCTCTTTGTCAATGCAAGTTTGTCTTTGAGCTTTGCATTTATTTTGTGTGAAGGGAATAAATGACTGTCCCATACCTAGTTTACATTGCACATTGAACACTTTTCTATCCCTCCCTTTTTGGAAGACCCTTACTAGAGATAAGGCAAAACTTGGAGGCCGCTAGGTGGTACCACGCATGGATAAAGTGCTAGACTTGAAGTCAGGAAGACCTGAGCTCAAATGCAGCCTCAGATGACACTTCATCTCTCTCAACCTCAGTTTCCTCATCTGTAAAATGGGGATAATAATAGCACCTACCTCCCAGGGTTGTGAGGGTCAAATGAGATAATATTTTAAAGTGCTTTGTCAGCCTCAAACCTTAACATGCTATGTACGTGCTAGCTAGTATTATTAAGCTTTAAGTCATTTCCCCGAGGGTTCCCTGTGCAGGTAAATAAAGAGCCATGGAGTATGAGAAAAGGTGCCTAACTCCTCTTGTTAGAAGCCACCTTCCCCAACTCTGAACCTGGCCAGGGCAGACAGCCCTCCTAGCAGAGAAGAGGGCGCAGCGCCCCAGGCCCTTGTGCCCAGAAACAGTCGTCATGATTTAGTTTTCCTTTCCAAATTCTCTCATGGCCTCGCCCCTGGACCTCTCCATCACTAATGCTAGAGCAGGCAAATTACTTTGAAGTTACAATGAGACTTAATAAAGCACTAGAAAAACTGGAATGGGAAGGGCACAACCCGGGGGCCTCTTCTCATGTTTCTGCCCTTGTTCCCTTGACATTCTTTTGATGTATTTGCATTTTCTATTGATACGTTTCCTTTGGATATGGCAGACACAGCCCAAGCCAACCAAGTACTCTCTAAGGATTGCATGAATTTCATGCTCAGGAGAGAGTATGAGATGGGAGAGGGAGAGACTGGGATTGCAGGGAGCCTAGCGAAGGGGGTGGAGGTGGGAGGACAGTTGTTGGGGACAGTTGGGAAGGTGTCGAGAGGGTAGGGGAGAAGTCACATTTTGTCGGAACATTTCCCATACAACCATGACGGTCCCCTGTAGGACATCACGCCTGGAGTGCTCTGTGGAGAATCCATTCCCTGGGTCTCCCCCTCCAAAGATCAGGTGTTTTTCTGGGTCGGCATCTGGAACAGGTCATTCAGTTAGCTGAGGAATAAGAATGAAAGGCAAAAGGATTGGCATTTTCAGAGAAAAGGAAATAGTCTGGGAGGGCAGTGACCCCATGTTGGAGGTCCTAAAGGGCATGTACCAGGAGAAAAGAGAAGGGGACTCAATCCTCCTGGCCCTTGCAGCTTGGAGGTGAGCCCAAGGCAAACATGAACCCAGGAAGGTGCTCAACCGAGGCAAGGGGATTCAGCCTCTCATTCTCTGCCCTTCAGGCTCGAAGCTCATCCTTCTGTTGCCCTCCTGAGCCATGGAAGGGGCCTGGCCACTCACACAAGCTGGCCCAGCGGAGAGCCTGGTGCTTGCTTCATAGAGTGTGCCATCCACGGGCAGAGACGTCATGGCCTGGGGCCATCCTCCTCAGCTGGTGCTGGATGATGGCCAGGGAAGATTGCTGGGCAAGGTTTGGCATGGAGAGAGGCCTTGGGATTCCACTGAGGCAGGGAACTCGTCGGGGAGGAAACTTTCTCTGTAGAAGCAGTTATGTGGCACGGTGGAGCTGGCACCAGGAAGCCATGCAGTGGAATCCCACCTCACTTACTGCAGGACCCTGGACAGTCAATCAAGAAACATTTATTAAGTGCCCACTTTGGGCCAGCCTCTGCGTCCTCATCTCTAAAGTGGGATAGCTCCCAAGGGTGTGAGGAGGATAAAATGAGATCTCTATAAAGTGCTTTGCAAACCGTACAAGAGAGACGTAGCAGTGCTTACTTGAGACCTGCCTAGAGCACTGAGGGGTGAAGTGACTTGCTTGGGTAACGCCATCAGTGTGTGTCAGTCAGGACTTGAACCCAGGCACTCCTGACTGTGAGGCCAGCCTCCGTGCCCTCAGTGGCTCAGGACCCGACCAGGGGGCCTGGAGCTGAGCTGTGTGAGGGCCCCCCCCCCTGCAGCTGCAGAACGCGGAGGTGCGAGCCCAGGGCTTCTCTGAGGCCCACACGCCATCCTAGCAGGGGCATTTCTTGGGTGTCGTGTCCCTGCTTGGATGGCTCTCATCAGGGGCATGACTTGACTCAACTACTCCAGCGGCTCGGTTCTGCAAGAATGATCAAGGCTTCAGCCTTACCCCAGCACGATGATGAAGCCTGTCCGAGAGTGTCTGGATGCAGCCTGCTGAATGTGCCGGGGACCCCGGGACCCCTGGCAGAAGGGGCCAGGTGGCACAGCTGTTTGCGTGAGAGTTATGGCCACCTCCTGATCTGCGCGTGGCTGTCTCAGAAGATGTGGAAACTTATCACAGGGAGATATAGCTCTTGGCTGAGAGACCGCCTGGAGGTCTGCCCGCTGCTGGACTGTGGCCTCTGCTCAGGAGAGCGCAGTGGAAAATCAGCAGCAGAATGAGGCCCACGTCTGTTGTCAAGAGCATGAGGCGGGGATGGGTCCTGCCATGGAAACGCAGCATCTGGGAACATACCGACCACGCCCTGCTGGGAAGCCACCCCCGAAACCACCCAGAAGGAGTGGCCAGTCCAGCAGTCTACAAAATAACCAGGGGCATGGCTAGGGCCTCCAGGCAGGAGAGACTGGAACACCAACAGACATTCATTAAAGGCTTCCAAGTAAACCACTACGTCATTTAACAGACACAAGGGAGTTTGCCCACTTTTCTCCAATCATTTTTCCTTTATTTTCTCTTTCCTTTCCTGTTGCCATAGATAGCATTTCTAGAACCATGTCAAGTAACAGTGGAGACAGAGGCCTCCTCCTCAGTTCACCCCTGATTTCATCAGGAAACCTTCCAGAGCTTCTCGCAACATTATAAGTAATGGGAACTCTCGGTATTAGAGAAGGGTTTTTGATAAGAGTCCCAAACCAGAGCTGAGCCGGCATCTGGCCCTTCTGCAGTGTGAATGACACGTGGCCATCCAGCCTTAGCTCAGAGATCCCCACTTCTTTCCCCCAACAAGGGGGCCCGAAGCACCCGGGCAGGAGCCTTTCCACTTTTGGGGTTTTGGTTTACAGGAAACCTGAATCACTGTTGCTTTGATCCATTTTCCCAGGGCCACTCTCTGGGCCAGCAAAACAAGTCTAATGCCCTTTTCCAGTCCTACCTGAAGACAGCCGCCAAGCCTCCTTCCAGACCAAACATTCCCAGCTCTTTCAGTGATTCCCCAGTAGCGTGACCTCGAGGCCCTTCAGCAACCTTACTGCTGCCCTCCGGCCACTCTCCAGCTCGCCGATGCCCTTCTTCAGTGGTGGCACCCAGAAGCGGACACCAGGCTTCGGGGGGGGGGGGGGGGGGGGGGGGCTGATGAGGACAAGTTCCACGGGCTTCCTCTCACCTCCCTATGCCTGGGAGTTTTCTTGGGGCTGCCACATCGCACTGCTGACTTGTACTCAGTCCACTAGGACCCCCAGCTCTTTTTCAGATGCAGCTGAACCTAGGCCTGCCTCTCCCTCCTGTTTTTTGAAGCTGACTTTCAGGACTCACAGGGAACACTTTCCATATTAACCCACCCCCTCCCCGCCACGTGCTGTCCAAGCGCAGACCCCTAGGGGTGGCAGGGAACAACGAGGGTGTGCCCGGGGGGACATGTTCGGGACGGGGATCAAGCCTTAGGGAACCACTGGATCCCCTGGCAGCCCAAGGCCGGAAGGGAACCGGGGCGGGGAGGGCCGGGAATCAGCACCTCGGAGAGCTCCCGGACCCGGGAGGGAGCGCCGGGTCAGTCCCGCCCGGCGCCCGCCCCCACCCTCATGGGCCCCCAGCTGGGGCCAGGCACTGTCCGGGGCTGGACGGCCGTAAAATGGGCTAAGGGTGCCCCCTGCCAAGGGGGTGGTGAGGCCCAAAGGGGACCCCCGACCTCGAGCCTGGGAGACCCTGAAGGTGCTACGGAAATGCTAGCCAGCTTTTCACGAGAAGTCTGTGACTGCGCAATCCCGGCGGGCTTCCCGGGGGAGGCGGCCCCACACTGAGTGAGCCTGGGAGAAGGGGAGGCTGCGGGGAGGCTGGGGCCCACAGTCCCCCCGTCTCTCCTCCACCCGCTCCAGGGGTTGCGGAAGCAGCGGCACAAGGCCGGACCGCCGGGAGCCAGGGGTCTGCAGGAGCAGAGGCGACGCCAGCCTGGGCTTGGGGCTTGGACGTCGCCGGGCCAGCGCCGCCGCACTACATTTCCCAGAATGCTTTGCCGGCCCAGGATGACTTTTGCCATAGCAACAGCGGCAGGAGGGGCCCCAGTGAAGCCTGGGGAGAAGAGTCTTCACGGGATTGGCCAAGAGGCGAAGAGAGGCGGGGCCATGTAGGAGACAGGCGGCACCCAAGCGACTTCCGCTTCCTCCTTTCTTCCTCGCTACTCCGCCATCAGACCGGTCCGGACCCCTGCCGACTTCGGATGCTCGCGGCCTGCTCGGCTCCGCCACGTACTCAGCCACTGCCAGTGCCCAAGCCCCGCGTCCAGGGCCGGGGTGAGTGGAAGGCTGAGGCCGGCTGGCCCGGGTAGCGCCTGGTTTCGGAGCTTTCCGAGGGTCGTTGGTCCTCTGGGGAGGGGGAGGGGTGCGGCCTTGAGGGACGCGCATGCGCAGGTCCTCTCCGAGCCCGGCCGAGGGCCACGCCCCCCCGGGAGCGGATGCGCCTATTGGTCGGGATGGGAGGGGCAAGGACTGAGAGCCAATCAGGAGCGCCGCTGCTCTTCCTTCCCCCTCCTCCGCCGCCTCCACCCCCTCCCCCTCCTCCTCCCCCTCCTCCTCCTCCTCCCCCTCCTCCATCCCCCACTGTCACGGTCCCCTTTCTCAAGTTCAGTCAGGAAACACGGATTAAGCGCCTGCTGTGCACCGCTGGGCCCTGCCCTCGGGGAGCTCCCAGTCTAACGACGGGTGGTGGGGGGTGGCCCCACAGGCCGACAGCCCCAGGACGTAGTCAGGCCAAGTGGAATGACTGGAGAGAAGGCCCTGCAGTGAGGAGGGGTCCAGGAGGGCTTCGTGGAGGAGGGGGCACCGCCAGAGATGGAGGGGCTCGGAGTCAGGGAGGTCCGGGTTCAAATCCCGCCTCAGGCATGCTTGCCTCAGTTTCCTTGTCTGTGAAATGGGAGTCCTACCAGCGCCCACCTCCCAGGCCTGTCATAAGGGTGGAACGAGAGGAGAAGGGCAAAAAGTGCTTGGCGCGGCGCCTGGCACACGGTAAGCGCTGCATAAGTGCTCCCCGTTGTGCAGCAGCCAGCAGAGCCACGGCCCTGGACTGGAGAGCGCCAGGGGCCGAGTGAGGGGCTTGGAATGCCAGGTGTGGCGGGGAGCCCCGCACTTTGAGGAGGGGGACGTGGCCGGACCTGGGTGGGCCGGCTCAGGGAGAGACCCCCAGCCGCTGTGGCAGCAGTCCAGGTGTAGACCGTCTACACTGGGTGGGTGGCAGCATCAGAGAAGAGAGGGGTGCCTTCGAACTTGAGAGATGTTGCAGGGGTGAAATCGGCAGGCCTTGACAGCAGCTTGGATGTGGGGGAGGGGGAGGGGGCATAGGGGTTGGGACTGGACGGGCCCCCCCTTCCTTCCCCGCAGTCACCGGGAAGGCAGGAGGGAGGTCACCGGACGGGCAGAGTTTGAGGCGAAAGGCGGCTGGAGACGGGAGATTTGGGAGTCATCCATCCCCAGGGAGCCGGTGACTCGATCCCCAGCGTGGAGGGAGAAGAGAAGAGGCCCCTCCAGAGGGAGGCCGTGATCTGCAGGAGGAGCGGTCAGAGGGGCAGGAGGAGCGCCAGGAAAGAGGGGCGTCCCCAGCCCCTGGAGACAAGAGGGCGTCGGGCGCGATCGCCGGTGCCCAAGGCTGCCGCAGCGCCTCCTTCACCGTGGTCTCCTGCCTCCTCCCCGCTTCTGCCCCAGTCTGTAGCCCCCCCAGACTGCCCGCTCCTTCCTGGGGCGTCCAGCCCGGCTCTCTGCCCCCTCCTTCTCTGTCCCCTCTTCTCCTTTTTGTTTTCTGACTGTGTTGATGCCTTTTGTCGCAGTCTCCGGATACATCCTTCCTCCTCCCCCACTGGGAGCTTTCTCTTGTAACAAAGGAAAAGGCCGTGAAGCCAAAGCAGCCAGTGTAGGCAGGCCCCGCGCTGGCGTGTGCGGCCTCGCACAGCCCTGCTCCCCAGGGTCCCCGGGGCCACGCGTCGTCCCCGGGCTTCTCTGCACCCCGGCTGCATTTCAGCGGCCCCCTCCTCGCCGTTCTTGCAGGCCCTCTGGATGTAGCTGTCCTGGCCAGGCCGTGCCAGCGGGGCCTCCTCGCCTTGGCTTCCTGCGGCAGTGAGATGCCATTGCATTCAGGCCCCCCGATTTCTTCCCCCCCCCCACTTGATGGGCACCTGCTTTATTTCCAGCGCTTTCCCCCAAGGAGGCTTGGGCTGACTGGTCCAGTTGGGGAACACGGGAGCCTGGGACCAGTCCGTTCTCGGTGTGCCTTTCCCCAGCTCCTCGGCTCCCCCATGCTGGTTCTGTCTTTGCCAGCTCACTAGCTGTGAGCTGTTTGCGTGGCATTTCTCTTATCTTTCCTGGGGGTGTGAATAGATTGCCGTCCCTCTTTGGGCCGCTGTTTCTTTAGTTCCTTTCACCTCTTATCCACTGGGGAATGGCTCTTGGGTTATGGATTTGTGTCGATGACTTACGGAGCTTGAAGATCTTCTCCCCTGGCCCCCTTGCCCCGTCCTCACGTTGGGCCCCGGCCTTTTTTCCTTTGCCCTCCCGCTCTCTAAAACTGAAAACCTCTTCTTCTGATCCTCCTCCTCCTCCCCCCCCCCCACCCCACGGCCACTTCTGGCAGACCTCTCTGCACGACGGCCTCCCCGGCCCCCTCCTCTTCTTCCTCTGGTCTTGTTTCTCTATCCCTTCTCCAAAACTTACAGTCTCCCTCTCCTGGGCCCCTTTCCTCTTTCTCCTCCATCCAGCCTCCCCTCCCCTCTCTGAAAGCATGACTTCTGCCCATCATAGTGCTTTTTATTTTATTTTTGAAGACATGGGAGGGATTGATTCAGTTCATTGGTAGTGACACGTGTAGTCCTGTCCCCAGCCCTTGCTCAGGCTCGTGGGCAGGTGGGCTTGGGGTCTCTTTTTGGAAGTTCCATTGCCGAGTTTGGTTTTGACGTTGCAAACATGTTCAGATGCCCCCGTGCTCCTCCAAGGAAACCCTCCCAAGAAAATAAAACAATCAAGGTGAACGATGCCGTGACCCCACGGGCAGGCGTCTGCAGCGGCCTCTCCCCCTTCTCTGGTTTTAAAGTGGATTTTTCTTAATTAACAGAAATCTATTTTCTCTTTCTCCCACTCCCACCTTATTGAAGAAAACAGAAAAGAAGAACCTATGCCTTGTCACACATATGCAGTCCGGTCTAACAGCTCCCTCGCTTGGGTGCCCTCAGGCCATTCGTCCCCTGCCCAGCAGGAGGGCCCAGGGAGTTGGCTTTTCTCCCCTTGATGGCAGAGTGCACAGGGTTCTGGTTCTGCTCCCTGTCCGCTGCATGGACTGCTCTCCCTGGTCAGCCCCGGCCTCCCTGACACCCTCTCCTCCTCGTTTCTCCCAGGGCAGTAGGGCTCCACCACCCCCGTAGACCCTTTCTTCTTTTTTTTTAAAGGACCTTTCTCCTGGTTTTTTGTATCTGTTATCAGATGGAGGCCTCCCCCCTTTCCTTGTAACAAAAGCTCTTTAGCAAACCAGCCACACAGGCACCTCTTGTGGGACAGCTGATGGAACACTCCATTCCTCTAGGCCCCCACCTGCTGCATTGCGTCCTCTCTTCTCAGACCTGGGTTCAAATCCTAGTGACCTAACTTCTCTCAGACTCATTTTCTTCATCTATAGTCGTAGTAGTAATAATAATAATAGAATTTATCGTTTATTTATGCTAGGCAATTAAGGTTAAGGGGCTTGCCCAGGGTCACACAGCTAGTAAGTGTCAAGTGTCTGAGGCCGGATTTGAACTACTACTCAGTAATAGAATTTAAAGAGTGCTTTACAGTTGGCAGAACCTCTTACACATATTGTCTCGTTTGACCTTCACAGCCACACTGGAAGTAGGTGCTGCTGTGAGCCCCATGTTGCAGATGACAGAACTGAGGCTGAGAGTGTTGTATGACTTTCCCAAGGTCTGAAGCAGGATTTGAATTTGGGTCTTCCTGATCAAAAACGCTTTGCAGAGCTTTGGGTCTTCTCAAGTCCAGCTTCTGTTGACGTTCTTGGCGTCATGGTGTGGGTCGTTTTCATTCTCTTCCTTCCCCTCCCCGCCATTCATTCAAGCCCTCTTGTTGCCTTGAATCCCTCATAGACTTTGTCTCTTGCTGCACAATAATATTTCAGTGCATTCAGGGATCACGACCTGTGTAGTGCATCCCCTCCCCCAAGTCAGTAGGCACCCATTTTATTTCCAGTTTTTTTCTACCTGAGAGTGTAAAATCTCTCAGCTATGCTCTTTTCTCTCCTCTGCCTCAGCTACTTCCCTCCACGTGCTCTGCAGTCCCGCGACCCTGGGCTCCTGGCTGTTCCTCACACACAACATTCCCATCTCTTCACTCTTGGTGTTGTCTCTGGCTGCGTCATATCTTTTCTCATCTCTGCCTAATCTTTAGCTTCTTTCAGTTCCAGCTAAAATCTCCTCTTTTCTAGCAAACCTTTCCTGATCACCCTTATTTCTGGTGCTTTCACCAGTTCAGTATCTCTGTGTGTCTCTGTGTGTGTGTCTCTGCGCCTGGGTATCTGTGTCTCTGTGTGTGCATGCATGTGCGTGTGTCTGTGTCTGTGTGTCTCCCATTCATCCTGTCTATAGCTTGTTTCTGTCTCCCCTATTAGACTGAGCAGCTTGAGAGCAAGGACAGCCTCTCTCAGCACAGTGCCTGGTACCTAGTAGGCGCCCGACAAACATGTGGGGACTCCCTGACTCCTGTAAATGTTTGGTTCAGGGTGGGGCTTGTCTGGCTTTGACCTCCTTGGGGAACGCGCCCAACATGGGGGGCCCTGGGTCTGAAGGCCTGAACTCATTCCCAGCTTTCCCCCGTCTTGCTGGCTTTGTCCTCCCCAGTTTTCTGGCTGTTCAGAAGGCAACACCTCTGACTGGTTGGATTTGCACGTCTCTTTTTTATGCGCTCTGGAGCAGTCTTTCCTCTGCTTGTTAATAGCTGGGCGGCTGTTTTCGTCCTTTGACCTTTTCCTCACTGGAGAATGGCTGTGGGGCCTCCATCTTTGTTGGATTTCCTGTGTATCTTGGATTCCTAGATCTCCTTTCCACTTCTCCCTCCTTGGCCCCTTCCTTGCCTATGCACTGGCCCTTGGTTTTCGTCACTAAAACATCTCCCCTCTTTTCCCATGGCCCCCTTCTTCTCCCCTCCCTCTGATGCCCCTCGCTTCTGGCCGCCTTCTTCTCCCCCTCCCTCTTGCCCTCGTAGACATCTGGCCTTTTTCCTTCTGCTCCCTTCCTGCCTCTGGCACCCCCTTCCTCCTGTTCTCT